GACTTTATATTTGCATGTTCCTTGCCGTTGATAAACCTTCTTTGATGTTGGATTACCTTGCACCAGATAAGGTGAAGTTGACTGAACAGAGCCGCTTGCACCTTTTCTATATTTCTACCTAACAAGCAAAGTTATATTTTTCAGGAGAGGGCTTAAATGATTAACAATGCCTTCTTCCTTCCTTTTAAGGAAATACACACATACTGACATTCTGAGTTTTGAATTGATATCATAGCCATATGTACCTCTAATGCATTGTTTCATTTGCGAATGTTGTTTCATGGCCGTAGGTACCTTGTCCCCCCCCCCCCCCCCCCCACACCCTCCTAACCTAATTTTGCCGATATATAGATTATTATTATAATAGTAAACATAGATACTATATGCTTGTGCCCCCTCAATAAAAACGTCTGATGACCTTTTTTTTTGGTTGTCAGGAAATTTTTGGTAGTACCCTCAAAACTGTATGGCTGAGCCCCCCCCCCCCCCCAACCGAATTTGCTTCCTACGGGCCTGGTTGTTTTATATGACTTGTCAGTTATGTGCATGGTAGGTGCTGCTGTGGTCAATAAGGGTGACTTTAAGTTTAAAACTTTTAAGTTATTTTGGACAGCTTATTCGAGGATCGTAAAAGGATGCAGTTGGATCTGGCCCCAAGACCATAAACTGAGAACAGACTTAAGTCAAAATTTCAAAGCAATATAACTTTTGAAATAATTTTGATAATGAAATCAAATTTTCATAATATATTTGAATTTAAATGTTATATAAAATTGCAAAATTTTAAGCAAATACATGAAATAAAACTCAAGATATTAAAATCAAAATTTTGACTTAAGTCTATTCTCAGTTTATGGTCTTAGGCCCTGTTCTCCTAATATGCACCTAGGTCGAATAAATTCCGGAACAGAATAACTATCATATAAAAATTAACATGATGGAAAATATTTGAAATAATAGTTATATATAATATATATATATATATATATATATATATATATATATATATATATATATATATATATATATATATATATATATATATATTTATAGATATAATAACCAGATTTTTTTTATTCATGACGATTATCAATCGAGTGGCTTGCGTGATAATGTTATGCATAAACGCCTTCGGCGTTTATGCAAATTATCACACAAGCCACTCGATTGACCACATCATGAATCCAAAAAATAAGACAGTTATTCCTTAAATAATGTTTTGTAGTATAAATATATTGCTGGGCAGGCCTTTCAATACATATTTATATAATAGTGTTTTGATTTGTATGTGCTTTGCATGCACTATACCTAAATAGTAGTTAGGGTTTGTCAGGATTTGAGACATGGTGCACGAGCCGGAGGCGAGTATTGTTATTATTATGCTGACTGTTGTATAAAAACGACACAGTTTTTCTCCATTTGCAATATTTCATCACCTCTTACAAACATGTTAGTACACCCCTATTATGACCTCTGTGGTTAAATAGGTAGGTCGGACTGACAATCTCGGGGTTGTAAGTTGTGATGCGAGTTCGATCCTCGGCGTGGATGATGTCGGATTTTCCTTAGAAAATGAAGCCCTGCACTATTTCGGCATAGTAGGCTTTTGCTTTATAAATCCTTTAAACACTCTGCGATAATAGTTGGGTATTGATTATATAGAGACAAACCAACAGGAAACATGAAAATTATGGATATTATTATTCCCTATTATTATAGAAACTGATAAATTAACTGAACCAGCACAATTTAGTTTTAAGGGTGCTCTACACCTTTCAGGTGTTCCTGATATTCAATTATTCACAGTACCTCAAAGTTATTCCAGCTTCATAACAGTTAAAGCATAAATAATAAGGTTTATTTTATGGACATTTATCAAGTATCTTATTACAGGTATGTTTACCTTTATTTTTTTGGTTTTCTGTAATCACAGCAAAATCAACTAAGTTGAGACACACAAAAAAAATAATCCAAATGAGTATCCCGCTAACTATATAGATAAACAACAAGAACAAGAAATGTTATCGTATGATATTTACAGTCTGACATTTCAGGTATATGATAGTTGAAGACAAATGTGTTTTTAAATATAAACTCAAAAGTACAAGACTATGCACTCAGTTTGCAATTCAGAAATGGTAAAAAATTTAAAGTAAGGAGTAAAGATGGGTCCTTATTCTCTTCTTATAAATTAAAGTTTTTGAAAAGGTTCAGCATTAATTACTTTTCATTGACTCATTCCTGAATAATAAAAATAATGTCTTACAAATCATTTTAATGGAGTAAAACAGTACTTCTGAATTCGGTGTTTGTATTTCTCTTTCATGCCAGACTATAAATTGATTCAAGTGTATTTCAGATAATGACTGACTTGCAACATTTCCGAAAAAGTGTGTTATCTCTACTGATGTCTGCCATGTCTGTCTGAGGCAGCATTTCTGAGAGTATGGTATTCCCTTAGTAACTACAATGATAATCTTATCCGAGTCAGCATTTTTGGGAGTATTTACCTCGGAGTCAACCATTTACTACTTGGATAGACCATCTTAACTTGTTATTAAGAATGAAACTGTATATGTCTCGGGTATCTTTTTTTTTCTTTTCTTAATAATGTTGTTAGGAAATAACTACAGTGTAAAGCAATTTACACAATTCGACTGTCTGTGGCAGCATAGTGGATGACGTTTTATTGCAGCCCGGAGGACCGGGCTGCTCTATACATATAAGTTTAAGTGTTGGTATATGGGGATTGAGGTGGGAGAAGTTATTCAGAATTAAAGGTTTTCTAAACATTAAAAAGATTGTTAATCAGAATGTTCTTTCCCTTTATAAATTATACACAATATATTTACTTCCATAAAGTGAATCTGTAAAAATATATATGTTTTTCATATTTAATATATAAAGTTGCTTATCATTTACTATCGAAAAAACGACAGGTCCCTTTTTTTAGAACATCGAATTTTACTTATCGCATAAAAACGTAAAAACGTACTTTACACAGTTCGTGTTTTATAATCTTAAAGTGAAAGACATTTTTGAAAATAGGTGATGCATGTGTCTGGTTTCAAATTATATTTTATGTAGCCAACATTTACTTGAGGAATTGATAAAGTTTAAAGGGTATCATTTTTGTTCGATTTTCATCCGACTATAAGTTTTCAAAATATTCTCTACTGTCGTCTCCATCATTTAGACGCATGCCTTTTTCACACATATCGAAGCGGTTTGATGATCAAGACTCATTTCCATTGTTTACTTTATTTATTTCCCGGGCGACAATTGATAGTTACATCAAAGTTTTCTTGTTATAATATGTTTACAGTGTAAACAATATATATCAGCGGGATTGTCTGGGGTGGAATAGTTGATATATATATTTTTTTCTGTTTACGTAAGAATGTAAGAACTGTCTGTGGCAGCATACTGATGAATTTTTATTTTATTCTGTTTTGTAGTTCCATCAACATTCGATAACCTTTTATTACGTAAATTCTGTACATAGTCGATGACTTACTATTATATTCTGTTTACAGCGTAAAACAATTTATTTACATCAGTATGACTGTCTGAGGCAGCATATAGTTGATGTCCTTGTATTATGTTGTTTCGTACACTTGTTAATAATTATAAATCTTCGTGTTACGATAATATAGTAAGAAATAGTTGTTCTAACGCTATTTTAACAAATTGAGCGTAGAAGCAGAATAAATCACAGTGCTCTATAAAACTAACATTGTTGTTGTGTTTTTGATGATAGAATTAAAGTGTGGACTTTATATATACTGAATCCACTATATATTTTTTTTTTATCAAATGTTACATGAAATGCATAATATATTCTTTCGCCTGGTGGTTTTTTCATTCGTTACTCTGCTATTTGCTTCTTGTAAGATTTCAGTGTTTCCCAATCGTCTCCTCTGCATTGGACATTTATTTATAATTTGTTAGTTATTGACAAGTTCGTTGCGTGCTTTTAAAGTTTTTTTTTTTTTTTTTTTTTTATTTATTTATTTATTTATTTATTTATTTAGTCAATTTTTCTATTCATACTCGTATCTGTATTTTTTTTTCATTGTGTAGGTTAATATCCTTTTAAGAGATGTATTAAAAATACGTACATGTGTAATTTTTGTTCGTATTTGGTTAATTTGTTCGGTATTGTTATAGATGCCCATTTACGACAATTAGTTTTATTTTATATTTTGCAAAAAATAGAGCAGGGTAGACTCATAAATGGCGATAATAAATAATATTGAGGACAGTCAAAGACGATGATATAATCAAACACTATATTTTTATAATTAATTTTCTTTTATATCAATAAGACACCAACTTTTATGATAACCCACCAGTTGCATTTTTATTGATGATTATGCTTGAAAACAAATACACATTTCAGTACAGTAATGTAAAATAAAACAATAATGAATCGGAAGTTAGATAAAGTCCAATCATTATGTACAACGGAAATCAAAACACAACCCGACATTTTTCAACACGAAAATCTCTTTGTAGATCGCAGAAAATAAATTTGAATATGAACTGAAACAAAATGAATAAAAATGACATTTGTATATAATGCACCATATCTAAATGTACAAAGAGAGATAATCCCTTTCAACAAAAAATAAATAAATAGATAAATAAAAAAAATATACTGTTCTAAAATATTTTAGCAAAAATTGTTACAAAAAAAAAAAAAAAAAAAAAAAAAAAAAAAAAAAACCTTTACTTTAAAATTATTCCATGTTAATGAATAAAACTTTTTTGCCAGATTAAATCAGGGTCTAAATCTTTTTTTGCTACAGTAAATGATCATATTCACGAGACGAGAATTATTTTTTTCAAAGTTAAGTTTTTTAACAATGGAATATAAAATAATTACAATTGATTCATACATTAAATTTATAAATTCTAATTGCAAACAATTCAGAATTTATGAGATATTTAGAGGTATGTTACAATACGTTATATGACTTCAGAGCCATTCCCTGTAATAAGTTTACTTCTTAAAAACTTAAAAGTAGTTGCACATATGATCATTAAAAAAGTTCAGAACTAGTTCAGATAAAATGACCCGATACTGCAAACATAAACCAAGCCGTGTGTTATGGCTACCATGGAAACATATCCTAAATTTTTCGGTATTCAGCAATATAAAAATATGAAGTAAAGACAAAAAAAATCAGAGTATTAAGGATTTACATTGAAAAGCACAAACATATTTTAAAATAGTATAAGGTAATGCAGCTCTAAAAACAACTTTTAATTGTCCCTTGAAGTGGACTCTCTATTCAAAAAACAGATACGAATTTTATTTGTATCAATTTCGTGATCATGTGGCCCAAGAAAATGTTTTGGACAAGACATTTTTTCGGACTTTTCAATTTCTCGGTAAATGTCAGTCTCTCTAAGAAAGAATTTTTCATCCTCATCTGTGATTTCTATGTCACTGCATGTGAATCCCATATCATAAATGATTCCTTTGTGAAAGGTTTCTATTATTTCCTTAATAAATTCCTCCACTGTTCGTCTAACTTTCTTGACACATTCTTCACTCAGTTTCACAGTTTCGTCACGTGTAAAAAGTTGCAACTGGATGGATGTTTTGCTGACAGCAATGACAAAATAATGACCTGCATCTTCTGCCTTGTAAAATGCAGCATTTTTGAAAAAAGATTCTTCTTCACAAACTTTCCATTTCTTTACGCAATTTACCACCAATCGGAAGAAGAAAAAATGGGGTAAATAAGATTTGAAGAAGTACACCATCATTGATGATTTTTGTTTTCGGTTGAGTGCCTCTTTTCTATCATCAGGAAAATCGGTTCTGTTCATACTCGGAATATAGTACATCTCCTCCTCATCGTCAAGATCTAATTGTGTTTCAATTCTTGTCATCAAGCCAAGTTTGTCCATGTATTGTAAAATGTCAGTTTTGTGTTTTATATAAGATTGCCATGCAAAATCATGATGTTTATCATTTTCACCATTGACGTTCGTATCAAAATAAGTTACATCATGATTGTCTTTGATACTTCTCCATACTTCTTCCATGTACTGTCCGCTTATTTGTCCGGTATTAACTAACATGTTTTTGTTATCTTTCCGAGCAAAATGCTTTTCATCAGTTATGATGTATTTGAATGCATCAACAAACCACTGAACATCAATGATAATCGTATCCTTGAGTTTATCCACAGAAAAATATATGATTTTTCCTATTTCATGTAAGAAACGGAGAGCATCACTGAGGTCATCTTCGTCTATAGAAAAAGTTTTTGCCGTTTCTTTCAATAGCTGCCTCTTTAAGACTTTTTCTCCGTCTGCCTTCTTCTGATTAAGACTTTTCTCAAGTTCAAACCATTTTAAAGGAACTTCTTCTCCCCAATGTGGTAGCTTTTGTACAGTTTCTACGATACATTTCTTAACAAGGTCAATTGACATTTGCTGCTTCTGGGTCAATGCTTTTGGAGGACATTCTACTTCAAAATATCGGTATGGTGATATAAGTCTTTTCAAGGTTTGTTCTTTCGATAAACACGCTTCTAACTGGCTGTAAAATGTATCCAATGTGTGCAATATTCTACCCTGCTTAATTACAAGGAAAAAAATTGAGGTGTTTAAAAAAGCAATCAGAACTATTTACAATCCTCATTTACGAAATGTGGCTATCTAAGAAATGTATTGTTATAATCATTATAAAATCATTGTAGATCCATGTAGACGGCTTTAGTTAAATCCATTTATATTCCTGATGTGTTTTTGTGGACAACAGAAAGGCCGACAGATATTTGTAGAGAAAAGATTGACATGTTCCCCTTTTTTGTGGGATTTGAGAATATATATATATTCTTTAAAAATAAGTTTGATTCCACACAGAAATACTCCGCAGTTACTATTAAGTATGGTTCCGTGTAAAAATCATGCAGGGGGTGATAAATGGAGGGTTTCTGAATTTTTTCAAACTTTGCATGTTGGTAGAGTATGCTCAGATACTACAAGAAATAAAATAATTTTTCATAAATATTGCGTCTGGTTGCCACGGCAAAAGTTAAACTGTTTTCGGTAAAACATGGCTGAAATTTCCTCTAAAAATAGGCAAAAATATCAATATTTCATATGAAATAAAAGAAAATCGGACAATAAGTCACATTTATGCTTATTTCTTATTCAAATACAGCTCAAGTAGTTACTTTTCATAATTAATCAAAATATTTCCATGTCCAGTAAGATGTTCTATTTTTAAGCTGAAAAAGGGAGATAATCCATGTTGACAAAAACAGCAAATATCAATTTTTGGAGGATTTTCCGCTATCAAAAAACTCAAAAACCCAACAGCCAAACCAAAAGTCCATGTTAGTTTCATAGACACCATATCCTTTAGCAAATGAAATCATAAAAACATTTTGTGCAAATTATTATTATTTTTCCCAAAACGATTGAGGAGTTTACATACAAAAAATGGGATTTCACTTTTTTGTCACAGTCCAATATATGCCATATATGTATGCATGTAAAAGGAAATTGACAATTCAACACAATTTCTTTACATTTCCAAACTCAAACACAACACAATAATTTACTTTTCTTAATTAATCTAAATATTTTCATGACCAGTAAGATGTTCTAATAATTAGGCTGAAAAGGAGAAATAATTCATATTAACAAAAACAGTAAAATATCTATTTTTTGAGGATTTTAATCAAAAAATTAAAAAAAAAAAACAAAAAAAAAAAAAAAAAAAACAACAACACCCAAACCAAAAGGCCATACTAGTTTCATAGACACCATACCCTTTAGCAAATAGAATAATAAAAACATTTTTGTGCAAATGATTATTTTTTTTCCCAGAGAGATTGACGAGTTTCAAACAAAAATGGGAATTTCCCTTTTTTTGACACAGCACAATATATATGCCATATACACATGAACATGCATATATAAAATAAATTGACATTTTAAAGGAATTTCTCAATTTTTCAAATTTATTTGTCATTAATCAAAATATTTTCATGACCAGTAAAATGTTCCAATTAGCTAAAAAGGGAGATAATCAATATTTACAAAAACAGTATTATATCCAATTTTTGAGGTTTTTTCATCCTATAATTTTTTTTTTAAATCCAACAGCCAAATCAAAAGGTCACGCTTGTTTCGTACACACCATACCCTATGAATATGATACATAGGGTATTCTACAAGAATTGAAATTGCATTTTGGGGTTGGGGGTTGGTTGAATATAATGATCCAACAACCATGGATGGACAATATTTACTTCCTTCTTTAGGATCGGTGAATCGTACACCTAGGCAAGTTAAACCATTATAATAACCTCAAAAATAGCAATAATTGTATAATATACAACTTGAGTTTTATTTAAATGATAATATGAATATCTTTTTTTCATCTTGTTAACACCTTTCAATATACACCACAAGAATTTTGACTGAATTTTAACTGCATGCAATTACATGTCTTAATTGAATGAATGATTTTTTTTTACACGTCATTACCAAGTCATCTGCTTGTTTTCCATTCAATTTTACTAGTTTACTCTACATCAAAATTATTAATTACTGGAACATGTATCAAAATAATTCATTGATAGATGTAAACAAAATTTTAATAGTTTTCATCTTTGTAAGATGCAAAAATGCTGAACAGAATATCACTAATCTCCGATGCTTCTCTTTTGTAGTAACTGACTGTCCTTTGTTTATTTATGAGTCTCTTCTAGTGAAATATAAAACTGTAACCTAAAAGTGCTTAAGATCCATAGGAGATGAGAGTCCATGTCTGATTAAATTTATCCAAAGTACCACCATTGAATCCATTCTTTGAACTCTAATCTTTGTTATGCCTAAAATAAAAGTTACGTATATTTATCATTTACCTCTTTAGAACTCATATTGTTCTACATTGATTTAAAGGTATTAAAGGGTTTTTTTTTTAGGGTTTAATTTATAAATTACTTTACATGGGATCTAAAGTTTATATAATGCAGTAATTTCATGTAAAATCTCAAATGGTTGCATGCATGTGCATGGCATGCGGCCCCCCACCTTTAGAGTCTTATTATTTGGTGATGTGCAACGGTGTTTTTCTTGCTGTCTCAAAAATATTGTCAGCTTTTCCTTCATAACCATGATGTTAACCTTCTTGCGCATTCTCTGAAAATGATATGGGGTTTCATTTAAAAAGTATATGATTCAAATTACTAATTTATGAAATATGTAAAATATCTTTACTATGTTTTCCATCATTTATGTCTCAGGTTTTTACCATATTACAATTAAACTCTAATCAGTTATAAATTCTATAATTTTGCTATTGATTAAATTAAAAGTATAAAATCAAATACACTCACGGTACTTGTTACATATATAAAACACTTTTTGGTCTTCTCTTTTCATTCTATCTCTTCAGTCAAACAAGTTCTTCATCACTTTGAAAAAAAACTAGGGATAGAGGGAGAGAGAGAGAGAGAGAATAGGTATAAAGACGACAAATAAATATACATGTACCTATTTGACAACCCTAAATTAGATTTACCTGATGATTACAAAGCACAATACTCTGCTTTCCAAACACTAGCTTGATTAAAAATATTGTTGGGCCAGTAAAATGTAAGTCAGCAATAGCTTGACAAGACCAATAGAATTTTCAGTGATATATCTTTTACAAATTATACCATCAGTAATGTCAACAAGAGGCCCATGGGCCACATCGCTCACCTGAGTAACTTTGGCAATGCTGTTCTTTACCAGATTTCCCACCTTGTAATACTTATTGTTGCCCCGCCCTACCCCCGGGGGTCATGATTTGAAAAATTTAGAATCTACACTACCCCAGGATGCTTCCGCATAAGTTTCAGCTTTTCTGGCCTAGTTGTTCTTGAGAAGAAGATTTTTAAAGATTTTTCTTACATATTTCAATGTAAAACTTGGATTCCATATTGTGGCCCCGCCCTACCCCCGGGGGTCATGATTTGAAAAAATTTAGAATCTACACTATCCCGGGATACTTCCATATAAGTTTCATCTTTTCTGGCCCAGTGGTTCTTGAGAAGATTTTTAAAGATTTTTCCTATATATTTTAATGTAAAACTTGGACTCCCTATTGTGGCCCCGCCCTTACCCCGGGGGGTCATGATTTGAACAATTTAGAATCTTCACTACCCAAGGATGCTTTCATATAAGTTTCAGCTTTTCTGGCCCAGTGGTTCTTGAGAAGAAGATTTTTGAAGATTTTTCCTATATATTTCAATGTAAAACTTGGATTCCCTATTGTGGCCCCGCCCTACCCCCGGGGGTCATGATTTGAAATGATTTGAACAATTTAGAATCTTCACTACCCAAGGATGCTTTCATATAAGTTTCAGCTTTTCTGGCCCAGTGGTTCTTGAGAAGAAGATTTTTAAAGATTTTTCCTATATATTTCAATGTAAAACTTAGATTCCCTATTGTGGCCCCGCCCTACCCCCGGGGGTCATGATTTTAACAATTTAAAATTTACACTATCCCAGAATGCTTCCACATAAGTTTCAGCTTTTTTGGTCCAGTGGTTCTTGAGAAGGAGATTTTTTAATGACCCCACCCTATTTTTGTCTTTTCTTGATTATCTCCCCTTGTAAGGGAACCTGGCCCTTTATTTTAACAATTTAAACTCCCCTTTACCCAAGGATACTTTGTACCAATTTTGGTAAAAATTGGACCAGTGGTTCTTGTAAAGAAGTTGAAAATGTGAAAGTTTACAGACGGACGGACGGACGGACGACGGACAACGGGTGATCAGAAAAGCTCACTTGAGCTTTCAGCTCAGGTGAGTTAAAAAATGTACATAAACAGCCTTGTCTGAAAAATTATATGATTATTTATTAAATAAATCAAACTTTTTTGGTGTTTTTTTTTATATCTTGGTTGATTTTTTTTTCTGTCCATACTTGATTTTGTTATTTAGTTTTTATTTCTAACTAGTTGCCATGTTGAAAAGGGTAGAGCAAACAAGAGGCCCATTGGCCTTAATGCTCACCTGAGTCAATATCTTCATCAGCAGATTTTTCCAATATATATTCGTATGTAAAACTTTGATCCTCATTGCGGTCCTACCCTATCCCAGGGATTCGTGATTTGAACAAATTTGAATCCACACTACTTGAGGATTCTATCTTGAGGGCCTGTCCCAAGACACAATAACATTATTCTAACCTAAACATGTGTTAGATGTCTTTTTTAAAAAAAAAATGGACATGATATTGATACGACATGTAGAAAATGGCCATCCACAATAATTTTCCGAATACATACTTTTGTATAAAATATAATAAATAATCATATATAAGAAGTGAACTTAAATAAAATCCTACCTATTAAACTGTTCAAACAGCTGTCCAAATGTACCGGTGGCGCCGGTACATTATCTTCCCTCTCCAAGTTGAGTAAGCTGACACAATCGGACTGCAACTCCTCATTGAGGGCTTACTCTTGGATTCTGGTGGATTACCTTAGAAGCTAAACTTCCGATATAGATCATAATGATGTCAGTAGTATGGAAAAATGCCGATATCCTGATTAACACGATGACAATAATTCCCAAGCTACACTTTCCCGTTTCACGGATTTTTTTCTTTGGATTCACACGAGCTTTATGTCCAATCTGTTCTTGTAACTTTCCTTTCAATCATTTTTTCTCAATTCACACGGACATTTGCAATGAACACCACATGATGCATCAAAATAACTTTGCAGTGTATAGCTTGCCATTTTTTTTTTACTACCGCCACCTATATGAATTTCCTACGGGAGATAACTCATACGAAGAATCTTAACAAATTCCAGATTTTTAACACCCTGTTTCTTTTCAATCCTTCGTTTGCACAAAAATATTAGAGTAAATTTAATTTACACGTTCCATTTTCACTGTATTGTTTAGATTTTATACATCTTCTTGGGTTTTAAAGAAATTATTTTCTGAAATATGCACCATTTACACACTATCCATACAAAATTACCCCTGGAGTACCTTATCCCTAGCTATATGAAAAAGAAGAAATATACAACAAATCCATTCGTTATCATTCATTTTAGACCCAAATGAATATATTGAACTCAGTTTTAATGAATTTGCAGATTATCGATGTAGCGCCTTTTCTGTGCTTCCTGCATAATTTTTACTCGGAGCCCTACTTAATATGATTTCCATGGAATGCAATGTTTACACAATTCACTTTGGGCCTGCCATTCTTCAAAATTTAAAAATTTTCAGTCTTTAATTTCATATTTTTATTACCTCACCTTGTGAACAAAATCTAGCTTGAAATGAGCTATGACTTAATCAAAGCGGAAATCATACAACACTGAAATACTTCAAAACAAACAGGTGTGATCAACACATATGTTCTGTAGAAGACATTTTTTCTGTGCATGTATTTTATATAAATTTAATCTATGAATTGTCTCAAACCTATCTCCAAGTCGCATAATATAGAAAAAGCAAATTCAAGAATTGTGGTCCATCGCTTTTTGTATTTATTGGATGGGATGCATTTAATGTCGTATTGTAACTATCGTCGGTCAACGTTAAAATTTATAATAAGTAACTTCTACATGTAGGTCAAGGTCGTGATAAAAAATGGTGTACCTTTCTGAAAGGTGTTGACAAAGGTAATGTAAATGTAAAATGTGAAAGCCCCGTCTTTTCTTCAATAGTTATCAATGTAAAAAAATATTAAAGAAGAGTCTAGGTTAAACTTTAAGGTCACGAGGTAAAAAAAGCAGAGTACATTCAGAAAAGGCTTGAAACAGGTAATGCATAATTAAAATATAAATGCCCTGTCGTTTCTCATTCAAAGTTATCAACAATATTAAATTTTTGAAAATTAGGTCAATTTTCAAGGTCAAGGTCAGGGGTAAAAATCACAGTACAATTGTGACGTATTTTCATAGGTAATGCAGATGTCAAATATGAACGCCCGGTTGAACACAACGAGGTTGTGATGTGAACAAAGAACTTTATACGTTATTGGCCTATCCCTGCCCAGAATCCAAACTATATTTGATAAGCTTTTAGTTGGCACCAATTTGACATCTCTGGGTCTCAAATTTAAGCAATGTATTCAATATAATTATTATATTTATTCATCATTCTTATCTATTATTATTATTCAAAGGTGTGGAATCAATATTTGGTATAGAAAGGTGTATTGAATCCCCGCAGAAAGAAACATCCCAACGGTCAAGAGGGCAAACATTGCTTAAAATGTTTCTCAGACAATGAACGTTAAGGTAAATTAATCTTTAAAGCTTCCCTTGAGAGGATAACAAAGACTTATTATAAAGGAAAGATAAATGTTGCACAAAATATTTTAATATATACGCTTTAAATGGATCTAACCCAATTACAGTTGTTAGTCTGTGGTTTTGTTCTATCATGTGCTGTGAAAAGGGGATGGGTGTCTGTCTGCCTGAAGTAAAGAGAATGAAATATTACCAAAATCCATGATAATCATAATCTTCCCATGTAAAGAATATGGTAGTTTTAAGCAAAAGTAATTTATAGTCGTTGATAATTGAGTACACATGGTGCTTACCATCTTGTCTTTATGGGAGGCAACAAGAATTACCGGGTGGAAATTGACATTCGCCATAGAGTCTTTGATTGCTGTTGTGTCTTGCGCGTCCCTTTGTGATATTCCATCATTGCAGTATGTATTTATAGTTTGCAGCCAAAAATGAAAGTACTCTTTAAATAAACAAAGATTCATAAATTAAACTTTTCAATTAGTTTCATTTGAATAAATATTTTTAAAAAAATTTAAAAAAATAACATTGTTACATTAATTCATTAATTGTCTCTTTTTTCTAGCCTGTTATGAAAAATAAGTTACACTACATCCTGTGAAAATAATCATATATAACTGCTTATTACATTTCACGTGATCTATTTTATGAACATATAACTACCATAATAACATTTTTCTCTAATCAATTCTTAAAATATATTGGAAACAATGTGTACTTCTGAAGTGGACAAAAATTAATATAATGTAAGTTGGTTCTTAATAATGATATCACAGACAAAATGTTTATCAGGTGGGAAGAATAGACTCGTTTTGATATTATCATTTTTCTTTATCTTTTTTAATTTGTGCTTAATCTAACTAGAGCGTTCCAAGTAGTATATGTGTCGTCTGCTATAGCATCAATAAAGATCTAAATAAAACTAAACTAATAGCTGACTATTCTTTACATATTATACGAGCATTACTGTTCAAGCAAAATAAAAAAAAATCCACTGACAGTGAGACAGCAATAAATATTTTTCATAAAAGGAAGTCACTATAAATTCAAGTTAAAAACATTAATCAAATTGAAAAATAAATAATCCATCCTTAGGTATTTATTTCAATAATGCCCAAGTCGATAGATAATACAGAACTAACCTAATAAGAGGCCCGAGGGCCTGAACGGTCACCTGAGTATAATACAACAATTGAGAGGATCATAGAGTATAAAATCAACTGATAGATGAAGCTTTGTTGCCCAAAAGCAAGAGAAGTAGGAAGATCTAGATCAACAAAATAATTGGTCTAACATTCAGTAACAACTCATAAATTAAGTTCTAATCTGTCCCCATCTCATCACTTTCACAATGTAGACTATTAACAAACTATTAGTGCTTCTGTACTATCTTTAACGCCATAATATTACCTCTCACATTGATCTGTCTTGGTCTTTGAAGAACATTTAATAAGATATTTTTGTCTCATTTTTATTTATCTATTTTTTACAGGTCTATCTGATCTTTAAAACTAAGAAAGTACTTTTTGTACTATAAAATAAAAATTCTAGCATAATTCTCTTATTCTATTAACCTTTCAAATACAGTGATTAATTGTCAAAGGTGAATGGAAAAGGGGAATAACTTCTCTCAGTAGAATAAAAATTAATAGAGCCCTGCCCACGACCTGATTGCTTGACCAAATCAAAATCTGGTAAAAATACTCTTGCTTATTAAAATTTTTTACTCAGTTTGCCTCTGATATGTCCAAAAGCAGAGAATAATTTCACATGTATAATGCATTTTCACTACAGATTCAACACAGCCCTACCCTAACACCAGAACCAATGACCCAGGGTCAAGAAATTTACAAATTAGGAAGAGTTAACCTCAGTATCATAACTATGCACTTCAAAGAATTAACACATTTCCACTATATTATCAGTAGCCCCCCCCCCCCCCCCCGGGTAATGCCAGAACCCCTGACACTTGGATGGGACCACAAGTTTAAAAATTTCTGTTAGAAGCACCCTTAATCATCACATTATGCAATTTGTTTACCTGCTCAACACTAAAGAGTAATTAATTAATTAATTAAAATAAATAAGGATTAATTAATAGAATTAATGCATTTTCATTATATTATCAATAGAGCCCCACCCTTACACCAGAACATCTGACACAGGGGCAATGAAACTCAAAATTCTGAATGAAGCACTCTTGCTCATCATAGCTATACACTAAGTTTCTTTGCTTTATAACCAGAAGCAGAAAAGAACATTTTCAAAGATATTATGCTTTTTAACTATATAATCAACAGACCCCCCCCCCTCCTTTCCACCAGAACCCCTGACCCTGGAGCAATATATTTCATAATTTTGGAAGAGGCATCCTTGCCTATTATAATCATGCACTAATTTTGTTAAAATAATCTCCAGGGGCAGAAAAGATTTCCAAAGTATTAATGCATTTCCACTATATAATCAATAGAGCCCCGCCCTAACACCAGAACCCCTGACCCAGGGGCCATGAAATTCACAATTTTGGAAGAGGCATCCTTGATCATCATAACTATGTACTCAGTTTGTTTAATACCCAGGAGCAGAGAAGAAGATTTTCAAAGTATTAATGATTTTCACTATATAATCAATAGAGCCCCACCCTAACACCAGAACCCCTAACCAAGGGGCTATGACATTCATAATTTTGGAAGAGGCATCCTTACTCATCATAACTATGTACTCTGTTAGCTTGTTTAATACCCAGGAGCAGAGAAGAAGATTGTCAGAGTATTAATGCAATTTCACTATATTATCAATAGAGCCCCACCCTAACACCAGAACCCCTGACCCAGTGGCAATGAAATTCATCATTTTGGAAGAGGCATCCTTGCTTATTATAACTATGTACTCAGTTAGTTTGTTTAATACCCAGGAGCAGAGAAGAAGATTTTCAAAGAATTAATGCATTTTCACTATATAATCAATAGAGCCCCACCCTAACTACAGAACCCCTGAACCAGGGGCAATGAAATTCACAATTTTTGAAGAGACACACTTGCTCATCATAACTATGCATTTAGTTTGTTTCCTGATTACCCAGGAGCAGAGGATAAGATTTTTTTCAGGAATAATGCATTTTCACTATATAGTCAACAGAGCCCGCCCTAGCACCAGAACCCCTGACCCTGGGGCCATGAATTTCACAATTAAGTAGAGGGCTCAATGTTCATTACAATCATGCCAACAGTTTGACTGCTTAATGTTCAGGAGTAAAGAAGAAGATTTTTAAAGATTGCATTAATTTTGATGGTTTTGGCCCCACCCCTCAGGCCCCAAGGGGGGGGGGGGCAGGGGCAACGAATTTCACAATTTTTGTTTCCCTTAAACCATAGATGCTATATGCCAAAATTGTTTGAAATTGTTTCACTGTTTCCAGAGAAGAAGCGAAAATGTTCAAAAGTTTACGAACGACGCACGACGACGGACGAAAAGAGATAGCAATAGGTCACCTGAGTGACTTAGGTGACCTAAAAATTGGAACATCACACAGGCTATTTCGTCAAGTCGAGAACAACACTGGCTTCTTCCGTCAAGTCGAGGATTTTTTTTTAGGAAAAAAGTTCATTCATACAATTTAATTCAACAATATCAAAGATCCACGATAAAAAAAAAAATGGTATGTCGATCGCATTTCATTTATTTAAAAATCAGAAATTACACTGCGTTTTCCGTGGGGTCAAAAACATGGCCTTTTCCGTCAAGTCGAGAAAAACCGAGATTCTATCTTGGTTGATGGAAGTGCCTTAGTGATTTCCAATTGTTAACAGCATGTATTCAAATTTCAGTTTGTGTGCTTAATGTCATTAATACGTTTAAAAGAATTACAATATAACTAGAATTACCAAAATTACCAAAGCACTTTTTTTTAATTCATGTCATTCATCAACGGTTCGGAGTATCGTTAAAAACAGACCAAAAGTCAAATTCAGTTGAGAATTAACGCTGCTATTTTTCTACATGTAACACAAATTTACCTAAAAAATCACAGAACATGTATATCGGCTCTTTCGTGTATTTTGAATACTAGGTCAAAGGTCTAGATAAAAGGTTTCGAAGTAACGTCTGGTATCACAAAAGTCATTCCTCCAAGCAAGATACGAGCCAAATACATCTACTTCTAATAGTTTTAAAGGTTTAAAGTGTACGGATGGACTGCCGAACGGACGAACAGGTAGACGCGCAGGACATAGTAATCCGTCAGTGTTGCTCTGCAGGCGAAAATGTGGTCAGTGGATATTTACTTACGAAAAATAAATAAATCTTTTGCAATCAACCATGATAATTTTTCATTTTATTTTACCAAGATCTACTTTTCGTCGCTGCTTTTGCTCAAGATCACTATATGCTGTTTACTTCCTACTGAAATCATAAGGGCTTGTCTTTCACGTTGTTAAATGTAAAATAAATTAATAAACTTTTAATCTAGTTTAAATACACTTTAAAAGTTGTTTCAATAAATACTTAGACACTTTAGACAAGAACAACTATATTCAAAATACGAACCACACCTATCAGCTGCTTGCATGTGTATATACAAACTCTTCAAGGAATTCAAGCTGCCGTCTTGGAAAATTACCCTCACCCACTTCAGCACCAGTTTCTAGACTCTAACCTTTAAATTTATTTCCTTGTCAAAGTAGCATTCGCTACCGCGATAACTTTCCCTATTGCTGGTGTGGTAGTCGGTCATCGCAAGCGTCCAATTAACAGAAAACAGATATAATTTCTTCGAATTGGAGGTCTATCTATCTATCATGCTGACTTCACAATAGTTAATACAGTGTATGACTTGATGTTTGTGGATTTTTTTTACTTCAAAATCTTATTTATAAGTGTGATGTTCTGTAATTATTGTTAAGAGGTAAGAATGCCTTGAACATGCTGAATAAGGATTTACTTTATACATATTAAAACATATTAGACATGTTTTTCATCAATCACTACAAAGCATGATTAAACAACGCCTTTCAAATTAGTAAATTCCCTAAATAACTCTATCAGTATAAAGAAACCACCATCATATTAAACAGCTTAATTTATTTTGATCTCTATTCTCTATGTGCTTAAAAGACAAGAGAAAAAGCTTGTGGCTTAATGTTCCCATTATTATCAAATTCTGTTTTTGTCAGCCTCTGTAAAAAATAATATAACAAATGTAGCACTTTCATTCGGTTCAATAGATACATCGAATTCACAAAAAAAAACATATCTACCTCGCACTTCGTGCTTGGTCGATATGCTTTTCTGCGAAATCTATATTTTTATGGATCGACCTCATGAAAGGGCTATATATATATGTGTGGGTGTGTGGGTGTGTGTGTGTTTAACTTGGAACTTGGATATTAAAGTGGTATTCACCTCTATAAGTCCAGGAGTGAAATAGAGACCCTGTTGGATTATGGCGATCTTTGTCATACATTCGACATTCTTCCTTCAGCTTCTTGGACATGTCGATAACCACGATATAGAATGCTCTCCTTGACAAGTAAACCTGGTGACATGCGTAGTACGCCACTTGTCCCGCAAAGTCCGTCATACTGATCACGTTGTCATAAGATTGCTCTTCACTATTTGTTTCCCTGGTGCTAAAATCTGATTGAGGGCGTAGAAAAGCAAAAACATGTTAGAATTATTTAACAAAATCTCATTTACTTAGAACATGCATGAAAAAAATGTCTCTTTGAACGTTTCAAGAAACTTCAGGGAAAGTAAAGACTTTCTAGTTGAATAGTTTGTTTTTGGTATTCACAATTTATTAATTGGACAGCGATAAATGACGTTTAACAGGTAAAAACTGGTAGTAGAACGTAATTCTTTTGTTATTCGTTGATTGCAGTCAACTCCTGTTGCTTTTCAAGTCTTTTGGATCAACGTATGAAACATAATCAGATATGTACGTAAACTGTACACTTATCAGTCATTTACGGTAAGAACAAAGACCAATTTACTGGTTTCACCGATTCAGAAGCGAATTAGAACCTTGTAAATGGTATGAATCTCGCAATGGAAACTATTAACATATTTCTCGAACGAAAACTAAGGTTGTGCAGTTGGTGGATTGATTGATTGATATTGTATATTGTTTTACGTCCCATTCGAGAATTGTTCACTCATATAGAGACGTCACCATGTACCGATGAAGGGCTTCAAATTTTGACCTTTACTCTGCACTCAGGGCCATTGAGCAGTGAGGGATTTTTATCGTGCCAACGCCTGTCGTCACACGGGGCCTCGGTTTTTAAGGTCTCATCCAAAGGACCCGTAACTTTCACTTCAAATTGCCTAGCGCATGGCGAAGGAACAGTTGCTACCCATTTTTTATCGACTTATGTCAGTCGCGGCCGAGATTCGAACTCCCAATCACGGAGCAAGCGCTCTACCGACTGAGCTACCGTGAACGGTACAGTTGTTGAACAGTCTAATGAAAGTCAGGATCAGAGGATATCAACAAGAAATAAAATAGTCAAATAAGCATGCAAGTTTTGTAAGACAAGAGGCCCATGGTCCACATCGCTCACCTGAGCACATTGGCAAGGCAAAAGCACAAATCAGTTCAGTATTGAAAAGGTTACGGGGGGGGGGGCTTGAATTTTAAACTACCTGATGATGCTTCCATGTCAATTTAACAAATGGCTTTGTTGTAGATTTAAAAAAAAATTTCCTATATATTCCTTTGTAAAAATTTGATCCCCCATTGCGGCTCCTCCCTATCCCAGAGATCATTCTTGAACAAACTTGAATTTACACTACCTCAGGTTGCTTCCATATCAATATGACGAAACATAGTTTTTCTGTTCTTGAGAAGAAATATTTTTTCTGTATGTTGTTATGTAAAATTTCGATCCCCCATTGGGCCCCACCCTTCCCCCAGGGGTAATCATTTGAACGAAATTGAATTTACACTATCAGAGGATGCTTCCATATCAAAATGACTAAACATGATTTTCATCTCTTGAGAAGAAGATATTTTCCTATATGTTCTTATGTAAAATTTTCGATCCCCTATTGTGGCCCATCCCTATTCCCGGGGGTCATCATTTTAACATACTCGAATCTACACTACCTGAGGATGCTTCCATATCAAAATGACTAATCATGGCTTTGCAGTTTTTCATCAGAAAATATTTTCCTATATTTTTCTATACAAGACTTTGATCCTCCATTGTGGCCCCACCCTACCCCAGGGGGTCGTGATTTGAACAAACTTGAATTTACACTACCTGAGGATCCTTCCACGTAAAAATATGATCAATCAGGGCTTTGCTGTTCCTGAGAAGAAGTTTTTAAAAAATTTCCTTATACATTTCTATGTAAAACTTTGATCCTCCATTGTGACTCCGCCCTACCCCCGGGGGTCATGATTTGAACAAATTTGAATCTTCACTACCTGAGGATGCATCCAAATAAATATGACTCATCATGGCTTTGCTGTTCTTGAGAAGATTTTTAAAGTTTTTCCTCTATATTTCTATGTAAAACTTTGATCCTCCATTGTGGACCTGCCCTACCCCCGGGGGTCATGATTTTAACAAACTTGAATCTACACTACCTGAGGATGCTTTCATATAAATGTGATCAATAAGGGCTTTGCTGTTCTTGAGAAGAAGATTTTTAAAGATTTTTCCTATATATTTCTATGTAAAACTTTGATCCTCCAATGTGGACCCGCCCTACCCCCGGGGGTCATGATTTTAACAAACTTGAATTTACACTACTTGAGGATGCTTCCACGTAAAAATATGATCAATCAGGGCTTTGCTGTTCCTGAGAAGAAGTTTTTAAAAATTTTTCCTATATATTTCTATGTAAAACTTTGATCCTCCATTGTGGACCCGCCCTACCCCCGGGGGTCATGATTTTAACAAACTTGAATCTACACTACCTGAGGATGCTTTCATATAAATATGATCAATTAAGGCTTTGCTGTTCTTGAGAAGAAGATTTTTAAAGATTTTTCCTATATATTTCTATGTAAAACTTTGATCCTCCATTATGGCCCATCCATACTCCAGGGGGTCATGATTTGAACAAACTTGAATCTACACTACCTGAGGATGCTTCCAAATAAATATGACTCATCATGGCTTTGTTGTTCTTGAGAAGAAGATTTTTAAAGGGTTTTCCTATTATATTTCTATGTAAAACTTTGATCCTCCATTGTGGCCGGCCCTACCCCCTGGGGTCATGATTTGAACAAACTTGAATCTACACTACCTGAGGATGCTTCCACATGAGTTTCCTCTTCCCTGGCTCTGTGGTTCTTGACAAGAAGATTTTTAAAAGATGCTATTAATTTTTCACTAATTCTTTATTATCTCCCCTTGAAAGAGAGCATGACCCTTCATTTGAACAAAATTGAATCCCCTTTACGCAAGGATACTTTGTGGCATGTTTGGTTGAAATTGGCCCAATGGTTCTTGAGAAGAAGTCAAAATGTGAAAAGCTTACAGACAGACAGACGGACAGACGGACTACAGACAAAATATGATCAGAAAAGCTCACTCTTGAGCCTTCGGCTCAGGTGAGCTAAAAAAGGCTTGCAAACGCAGACCTACAGTACATGAAACGAACCTATCGTTCTCATGGCGACACCTTTATTCTGTGGTGTTTCACACGCTTAACAAATTTCCAACGAACTTCACCAGATATCTACCGATATTGAACACATTCAACAAACTGAAAACAACAGCGGCGAAAGGAGTGGGGCAGATAAAAAAAATACCATCCGTATTATGTCTGCTAGTGCTACAGTAAAACCCGTTCAGTACCAACATTGATAAAGCGAATTAATGGATATAACGAGGTTTTCCGAGATCCCCAGCAAAATTCTTTGCAACGATTTGTAAAATGTTATGGTATATAGAAGTCCAATATGACGAATTTATGGATAAAGCGAACTGGTTTTGTGTCACGTTCAGGTTATAAATAACGGAATTTACATCTTTATAACATTTTTTTTAATTTCAAAAAATGAAATAATTGAACTAACATTATTTTTCTGAATGATTTTATTCATGATTTCATTCATCTGGAAACTTAGGTGTCAAAAGTAAATATTATATTTGACAATTTTTTGAACATATTTGGTACGCATATGTGAAGGAAAACTTGTACATTGCAAATTTGCAAAATATACCTTAAGGTATCAGGAATTGCATATATAGTGAAGTAAATTCGGACGCCCCCCAGGACTTCGCTATAACGTAGTTTTACTGTGTCTGATAAGATCTCACTCTGTTGCACATAAACTCAAAAGATTAACATATTTGTTAAAAAACAAAATATCACCTTTTAATTTGTTGTCTTCGATAATAAACAAATCTTCATGGACCTCAAGACCTACGGTTGTTTTAGTTGGCGTATTTCCATATGTTCCCTCTCCTCCTAGAAGCGTTCTGAGAGGAGTTGAGTTTCCTCCACCTGCATTATCTTTATCTGTTCTCTTTCTTCCTCGAGACTTTCTAAGAAAAATTCTTTTTCCTGCCCCTACACTATCTTTATTGGTTCTCTTGCTTCCATGAAGCCTTCTAAGAAGAGTTGTTTTTCCTGCACCTGCACATCCAACTATCATACCTCTGGCGCGAAACATTTTCACTCTTTTTTGTTTGAAGTTCTTCACAAATCTTTCTCTAGCGTGAATATCCCATCCTAATATTTCTTCTGGTATATTTACTTAAATAACAAAATGAATATCATACTTAATTTTCTGCTTAAAGTTTAATAAAAATGTTTACTCCTGTTATAATAAGAAAACAAGAATCACTGTTTTTATTTAGAGTGCCAAATATTAAACTTATTTAACATTTAAGAAGAAAAAAAACATTATCAGTGATAATAATAAATCTTCATATCACTATACATAGAATCACTATCTGACGAATTAAAAAGTAAATGACTTTTAAATATTATAAAACTAAGTATATAAACGTGAACGGCAAGTATTTTTATTATATCTACATGATCGATGATAATGCGTACTTTCTCGACAGAGATCAGTAAAATTGACATAAAAACAATTTTGTAAAACTACTTAACACAATAGTCAATACACAGCTTCTTGATTCAAATTTTATACCACATTAAAAAAAAAAGTGTTGTTTGCTGTTCAATGACAAGAATACTAGTATTGGTAAACATGCCATTAAATTAGAACACAAATAAAAGAAAAATATGAATTGAATATCGCACAAAGCAAAAGAAAATATTTAAATGGTCATTAAGAATCGCTCAGTATGTACATATTTGTTGTGTCCTATTTCCTTCCTTATGTATCTCTAGTCGGTATAATGGTGGAATTAAGAGTTAAATTGAAAATCACTGCTCACGTAAAATGTCTGAGAGGTAGCTAACAACAATTCCTGAGATTTACGTGATATCTGTGCTAGAAGGTACTCATAACAGTTTATTTGATATTGTTAAATAGTGTTAATTTACCTAGGGTATAGGTTACTGTGTACACTAAGCGAAATCGGACAGTATCACATTTAAAAAGGAGAATATAGATGTATATCAAGCATATATCAGGTGCATCTTTTTTTATGCTCATATAACTATTACCAAGTAAAATTTACCTTTTTGACTGGTAAATAGTCATAAATAATTATCTGAAATAAATAACATTCTAATATATCATTTTAAATTTAGACGTTTTTCTGTGAAATTCTTTATTTATTATCGTTGCGTGCCTATTATTTAACTGGTTGTGTATTGTTTATCTCATTCTCTCTGAAGAAGAATTAACACATTCTAATTGTCTTTAAGTGATTCTGTCAAAAGAATTGATATTCATAAGGTGTAAATTTGTTTCTTTAATTATCTAGTGACTTCTTTCATGTGAATTCTAGCAAAGATTAAATCCTCTCCATCAATAAACTCATCTAGTGTCATAATCCAATAACTGCTTACACACAATATTAAAAAAACTATGTACATTACACTTTTCTCAGTTCGGAGACCCTATACTCTACTGTCCACATCCATTCGTCAAGACTCGACTCGTTAAGGTATTACTGAAATTATTTTGCTTTTTATTTACCAGCATCATTGTCCTTAATAGATTCGGAAACCTAATTTTACCTTTTTATAGATAGTATATTGGAATACCATAGGGAATGCAGAATAATTCTCCCTATGGTTTAGAATAAATTACGACCCCGCAGTGCCGCTAATTCATTAGCCGCAAATGATATTCTCTTACCCATTAGGACTATAACAAGGAATATAATTCAGGAATAAGTCTCCATTACTTATATGCAATACCTGATTACATAACTATCACATAATTATTTATTTCTTACTTTACTTTTAACGTTCTGTGTAAGAAATATTATTTCTATTGCAAAGTTTAATCCTTGTTATCCCCTCGCAACTGATTTGAAGGGGATATAGTAGCGTGTGTTGTGGGTTATGTCCTGTTCGAAACGGAAGTGACGTAATTTGGATCGGGATCGATGTCGAATGCTGTCTTGATTTATAGATATGTTCTTTTCGAGGGGATGCTCCGCTTTGCCGTGCTTTTGTTCTATTTCTGTAGGTGTAAATTCTGATATATTTTTATTTAAGTTTAAAGTTGAATTTGTTACCAAACATTTTGTTTTACCTATAAAATGTATGCTGCTGTATTAACGGTAACTTATAGTCAGAGTATCTATTAAAATATGAACCAATGTGTAATTTCTATTTTTTTTTTTTTTTTTTTTTTGTTTTTTTTTTTTTTTTGTTTTTTTTGTTTTTTTTTTTTTGTTTTTGTTTTTTTTTTTGTTTTTTGTTTTTTGTTTTTTTTTTGTTTTTTTTTTTTTGAAATTCTTTGTAGGTTAATGTTTTTATGAAATTCCATCAGTAAAACGGTTACCGCTATTTCAATTCTACGGTACTTAAACCCTGATTGGGGAGGGGATACTCCCAATTTAAACCAATTACTGAAGTTGAATCGTTGTTAAGCATGTCAATCAAATAGTAATTGACTTAATATATATTTGGATTCTTGTATATTTTTGTTGAACGTAGTTGTCAACATATTTATAACATGTCAACAATCCCGTTACTCAGGACCATCACCAGTGCACAAAAAATGCTTCTCCACTTTTCAATAAAGAGTAGATTTACAGACAGCTGCCAAAGAAACTTAAACACCTTTATCGAATAAATTGAAATGCTGCTAATTGACGTATTCTATAAATAATCAACGCATTATTCAACCAGGACTGCAAGGAATCTTCTAAAGCCCCTCCCCCCCCCCCCCCCCCGGAAAAAACATGTTTGCCACAGGTGTAATAAATGTCCTAAATAGTCAATCAATTCTTCAACCAGCAAATGAGATTTAGCTGACCCCGCCCACTGTGTGACGTAAGCGGTCCAACATCTCATCGACAAGTCCACCATCCTACTCCGCGGTCAAACATCGATTTTTTTTTATGCCCACTCAGTAAAACATTGGAAATGTTAGACTTTTATTAGTATTGATTTATATAGGAACAAATTTTTAAAGGTATAACAATATTCAATATATTCAAAATATTGTTTTTAATGTTCAGTTTTTATAATGTCTAACAAAACTCTCTCAAATCTGAGTAACTGCAAAATGAATCATAAGCTTTTATCAATATTAAATTTATAAAAGTGTTTTCTGAACAATTCAGAGATTTGTAAATTTTTTTCAATATGCTTTTAGCGCGAAGACTATATACTATATACTAATAAAGAGAAACCAATATGCCTGTGACCAGTCAAGGTGGTTTTTCCCACCCCTTTTCAATTCACTTATTAACAGGCCCCTGACAGATCTCCATCGTTTCCACAGACAGATTGACCAGATAATAAATAAATCGGTGTTTTGTGTCATATAATTAGCATTAAATACCTGAAATGTTAAAATGAGAGCAGTATTTTTAGTGTACCGGTAGATATAATAGGGTCATATGATAACATTATATCATGATTTTATTTGGAAAATTTATTGTTTATAAAAAGACAGCTGTAGAAATTCAACAACTGCGTAAACTGTACATGTACTAAATTCACTTATAATTATAGGTGCTATTTTTCTTTCGATTCATTTAACTTGGTATCTAGAAAAAAAAAATTATCAAAATTAAAATATCTTATTTTAAAGATATAAATACTCACAACGTTTACTGATACTCTCATGGATCCCCCAGTCACAAACGGTACAGTGTGTGATGATGTCCAGCTGTAGTTTGTCTATGAAGAGATCGTACATTTTCGCCGGACTTTTTGGTACATACAGACATCTCTCTCCCTCACTCCTCTCATAATCCCAGGAACGGCAGTAATCTGATATCACGTCACGTGACGCCGTGGTCATGAAAGACTCTAGATCACTGTCCTCCACCAGACACTCCGTCACAAATGCGTACATGACGTCATGTCGGATGTCGTCTGATACAAATGTTACGCTACCATTCTGTGTTTCCTTCATCACATGCTGAAGATGCTTTACTTTCACAGCATCAGACGGAGAAAGCTTTTGAAAATAATTTTCTCGTATCTTTACCAATATTGACTTGAACACCTCTCCATTTACAATATCAGTGTACTTGTCACACAACAGTAAACTGTAAAGAAGACTTCTGTCGACTTCTGAATAATTATGAAATGTGCCTACATTGAATGAAATAAAAAAAAGGAGTTAGATAAAGATAAAGTCCCGTGTAATAACAATTTTACCAAAATATAAATTATTAATGCAAATCTACCACGCTTTTTGATCAATTTTAAAGCATAAAATGATTTTTAATAAACAGAACCTTTCTAGGATCGAATATAAACTATTCGGTTCATCCAGAAATGAATAATAAATCGCACACTTTATTAAAATTGTGCTGTTTTGCATTTACATACTCATTTTTAAGAAATTCGAGATATTTACAGTACATGCTGACAGCTGCGTTGAAATATATCCGTTTAAAATGTATAATATGGTTTTTCAGAAAGAAATCCAGATTTCTGTTATACACCTGGCGAGTATAATTCTTTTTTTTTTCTTTTTATAGAAATTGAGGAATAAAAAAACACCATTGTAAATTTCTATATAATAATTTACTATGCTTATCAGTTACGCGTACGATTACTAATGAAAATCTGATTGTGCCTTTTTTCATCGCGATTGCAATATAAAGCAGGCAGACATTTGCAAAATACAAGAAAAAAAATGAAAAATCTTGATTTGTTTTTACCCACCATCCCACCCAAAAACTTTTTATTTTCTTGCCATGTTTGATGGGAGAAATTAATTGTACGTTCAAAAATTATTTTCTTTTGTTTTTGTGAGTAAGTAAAAGATAAATAATTTGGATACAGTTTCGGATGTTTTAAAACTGTATGGGCGATTTTTTATGCCCCACCTATGATATTTGGCTTAACAAAATGTATTTGTTAATTTTATGCACATGTTTTTATGATTGTGTAATGCTTGTCATTTTGAATAATTAGTATTTTGCATGATTTGTCTTGTCATTTATTAGATTAAAATAAATGACAGTTTTCAATTCAAACTATCTTCATTTTGTTTTTGCAGTATCAAACGAAGCAAAACTATTGTCAGTGTATTTGCATAAATAGTATTATAAAAATGCGGTCTCTATTCATTCTAAGAAGTAAGTTTTAATAATTTTGCTTTTAATTTTTTTTTTCAACGCGATTGCAATATAAAGCAGGCAGACATTTGCAAAATACAAGAAAAAAAATGAAAATAGTATTATAATAATTCGGTCTCTATTCATTCTTAGAAGTAAGTTTTAATAATTTTGCTTTTAAATTTTAACGAATATATATCTATGTAATTTTGTTCATTTAAGCACGTTTTGCAATTCTCCTTGACAGAGTTATACCCCTTGCCAAGATCAGCAATTATTTGCTTGATTGTTAATCTATTTCAACAAAATTATATCATTTACTGCATTTTCATGCCACTGCAATCAAAGTATCGGGGTATAGAGTTTTTGCCCTGTCCGAACGTCTGTCTGCCTAGCTGTTTGTTTGTCTGTATGCAAGAAAAACCCCAAAAAACCATTAAAAAAAAACAAAAAAACACTAATTTGCCCGAAACTTTTGATTGGCTGGAACTATAAGTTTTTCTGGTTTTCATGTGTATTCCTTGTTACAAGACCTTTCCTTGGGTATCAACATATTTGACCTTTTATCCTTGACCAACTTATGCAAAATTTGCAAACTTTAACCTTGGCCATAACTTTTAAACCTGTAGTGCTAGAGCTTTCATACTTCACATGTGTTTTACTATGACACGTTCTTTGGACGGATATAAATATTTTTGACCTTTTGACATTGACCTTTAAGTTTGACCCAGTTTTAAAAAAACTTTACCTTGGTCATAACTTCTGAACGGTAAGTAATAGGGTCTTCATTTTTTACAGGTATACATGTTTTTCTTTTGACAAGGCCTTCTCTTGGATACCAACAGTTTTGACTTTTTGACTTTGGAGTTTGACCCACTTTTAAAAAAAATCTAACCTTGGCCGTAACTTTTGAACGGTTTGGAATAAGGTCTTCATTTTTCACAGGTTTATTTCTTGTTACAAGACCTTCCTTTGGATACTAACAATTTTGATCTTTTGACTTTGACCGTGGAGTTTTTACCTACTTTTAAAAAAGTTTTGCCTTGGCCATAACTTCTGAACTGTTGGTGCTGGGGATTTCACATGTGTACTTCGTATGACAAGACCTTTCCCTGGGTACCCTTCGGCCTTGACTTTGGAGTATGACCCATATTTAAAAAAAATGACCTTGTCCCTAACTTTTTGAATGGCTAGTGCTTTGGCTTTTAAATTTCACAGGTATATTCATTGGGACAAGTCCTTTTTTTGGTTACAGCATTTTCTATCTCTTTTCTCATTTGAGAAAGTACAACAATAGCCAAAAGCCATGCCTTCACCGTTTCATCAACACTGATTGAAATAAATAAATTTAAACCGTCTTTCTTACACCTCTCTATAGATAGGACAAGTTGCTGTCCTTTAAAGAAGGACTGCAATACGTGGACCATATGCATGTGTTTCTAAACGAAATTCAAAGAAAATTTGTAGATTTAGTGATTATACAAAAGCGTAATTAAATTAATTTTTTACATGTACCAGGTATCTTGTATTTTCATGGTTATATTTAAATCTGCTCAATTACGCTGTAATGATAAAAAAAATCATGACCTTGAAATGAAATGTTGATCTAGGTATTTGTCATAATTGTAGCCTTTAAAATTAACAATAGAATTAAAAGAGGCTTAAGCGTGCAGGTATCGTAATGGTTGAATTTTAACCCCATTGGCGGATCCGGGAAAGGAGGTGTCTCCGGACTTTGGAACCCCCTTTATTTTTGCAGAGAGAGAGAGAGAGAGAGAGAGAATGTGTGTTTTTTCTTCTGTAATATAGATATTTTTACATCTAGTATTTTCAATAAAATAAGTACTACAATCTTTGCCCTTTCCGCTCTCTAGATAGAGTTTTGCTTATAATTGCTTTCCTCCGTGTACCTTCTCAACCTTGGCCCCGGGCCTCGACCACCCACACGTAACATGTAAGAATTCACTTTGATATCATCGGAAGATTCCGGTGAACCTACGGCTATGCCATTTTTGGACCATCTTCTAAAGTAACTAACTTTAAGAAGTATGCCTAAAAAGTCATGAAACGGAGTATGCATAAGAGAATATTTCTTTCCTTATTCCTTATATTATGGGGATATTTTAATCAATGAAGAGAAAGGTTCAAAATGTCCCTGTAGCATGTAGGGGAGGGGGCTCACTTTTTCTAAAAAAAAAATTATCTGTTGTTATAATTTTAATATATAAGTTTTGATTGGAAGCTCCCCGCACTCTTTGTTGTGGGAAGATTCTAAATATGTAAAAATCAACATTTAAAAACAAATCAAAATGTACCGAAAAGTTAGAAGAAATGTGGTGCACAGGTTGTTATTTTTATTTTATTTATTTATTTATTAATCATATTATTATTTTTTTTGGTTGCCAACTCTTTTTGAAGGTTGCCCCCTTTGCAAACCGTTGCTACGGGCTTGAATTTAAGTGCCTGCGGTGTGTGACCTAAAACTCCCCCCCCCCCTTTTTTTTAAAAACTGCTGGATCCGAACATGTACTCGAGCACTAGAGGGTCTCGAGTTATCTATTTTCTTTTCTAGTTGTATTCTACTGTATTATTATGCTTATTAATATGTTCTGTATTGGTCTTTACCAATTACTGTAATTGTGTTTGTGCCAATAAAATATTTGTATTTGTATCTAAAGCGATGCTAGGTTATCGATTAACTCGATGAATATAAAACACACAAAAATAAAAAATAATTTTGTGTGTTTTTTTTTTCTCTTTCTCTTTTTAGATAACGGAATGGTTTATATCTGCAATCGTAACTTCTCGGCAAAACAAGGTGTTTTTCCGAGCTTGCCAGAAAGGTCTGAGAAGATGCGATTGACAATCTCATCGCACGTGTGTAGACCTAGACTATTTGGTCTTGCAAGCACCGGTGTGTATGCACTGTTTGCTAGTGACGCTTAGACTGGTGACGGTATTTGCTACGGTCCGGACATGAAGAACTATACACCAGTTTTATAACATGTGCAGTTTTTTTTTTCTAGTGAAAATTCGAGTGAATTAAAAGTCGAATATCTTTGATATGGAATAACCCACATCTATTCTTGTTAAAACGACCGTCATTGCATCCATGGACGAGTTCATTTGTTACTGTGAAAGGTGGCACATTTTAACCTTTTGTTAATATTTTCTACAATGATCTACTACTTTGAGTGATACAACTTTCATAGCAAAATTGTTAAATTTTATCCCCGATTGACCTATAGTTTTATCATTTAAAAAATCGGGCTATTTCGATACATGTATCCCATAACGGCTAGGACTTGACATCTGTACTAGATTTATACGGAAGATATTCTGTCATTTGAAAGATAGATGGTACACTTGTAGCACAGATCTGTAGTACGCAGAATTTTTTTTTTTATGTTTCTCCCTCGCCCCCACATGGAAAAATGTTGCTACAGGCCTGTATCAAGCTATATTTGGGTTGCTGTCTATCAAATTATTTTTTGAGCCTTGATGCACAAAATTACTGCCGGTAAACATTGTAAAGACTATCTTTTAAAACTTAGTACTTTAATTCAACATGTTCAAGCTGTTAATTAAGCTATCTTTATAAGTTCTTCCTACTTATTTCCAATGCTTGTCTCATAGAAATTAGTTTGTATATAATGATATATGTATGAAAGAGAAATTTGGACTTTGGTTATGCCAAATACTACATAAATACGATGTGCACGAGAGCGGGGTTTGCCAATGATTGGCGAATTTGGCGAATTGTTCTAAGGGCAAGTTGTCTTAGAGGCGAACACTCTAGCATTCTCGCGCATGCGTAGCCTGACGTAAGCCCATGGCATCCGGTTTAACCCCGTTTATATATTTTCTGCGTGGACCTCAGGGTCCACGCAAAAAATAACACTATTGCTGTCATAATACCATGATGACAGTAAGACGTTTTCTGATTTCAAGAAAGCAATCATCTTCGCTATAGCCAATGGTTTTCGGTCCCATCTGCTCCCCACTATGGTGAAATTTTGAAATCAC